GCGGGGAGGGCGGGCGCTTCGCGCCATGCGCTAAGAAAACAATGCCTGGATCGAGCTCGTCGGGGCAGCGTTGCAACCATTGCAAATCTGGGGTCAATTGTTAGGGGGGAGTGGGGGATGTGTGGCTTATCGGCTCAGTTGCAATAGGTTTTGCACAAGTTATCGGTTCAGTTGTGGAGGGGCAATGGGCAAGTCCAGCAAGGAGATCGCGATGGATGCCCAGGCTCGCCAGGACTGGAAGGATGACAAACATGTCAGACTGACCAACGCTACCATCACCAAGGTAGCATGCAAGGCCGAGTTCTTGTGTGCATCGAAGAAGGTGGCCTCGTGTGTGAAAACACGTTAGACACTCATTGCAATGACATTAGCCACCGCACTAGCAATTGCAATTGCATGTGAATTGGATGGCATGGAATGCCTGTGCCCTGTATATCTGTGTTTTGCTTTAGCGCACGATTCCCAGGTTCTCGAGAAGTTCAAGAAGTTCGAGGCCGCCAAGAAGAATATGGAGGAGGCCAAGAGCGAGTGGATGGAGGTCGATCGGTGATCGCATCGATGCCCGCGCTGAGTGGGAGAACGCGTGCGAGCAGCACGCGAGCATCAAAACAGAGCGCATGCCGCGCTGAGCGTGCCGCGCTGGGGCCGTGCCGGGCGAGGTTTCGCACGTGCGATGATATGTTCAGATTCGCATTGGCCCACGTCAAATGATCAGTGGTCACGCCAATCATGCCTTACATCTGATTAGCATGCCGAGCAAGGGGGTGGACCCATCCAGGTCAGTGTCTGTCAAGCTGCGCCCAGCCGTGGCGACGACGATGACCGACCCCCCCCCCCGCCCCCCGAGAGGACTACCATACCCCCGAGATGACTACCAACCCTCGCGCTGTTGGTTTGTTCGACACCCCTGTTGACCTTTGCCTCATCGCCAAGCGTGCACGCGTCATCGTCGTGGGCTCCGTAACCATTTTGGCTCAAACAGTTTTGCGAAATTACATCTCGCTTCCTGCTGCGTAGCAGCAATGACGTCGATACGTGATGTGCTGGCCGAACTCAATCATATGATTGATTGGCATCATACCCAAGTCGGCTGCGGACCCGACGCAAAGACATGCGCCGACAACCAGATGCAGTCGCTGTTGTCGAGAGTGCGATCCTTCGGAACGATCAGCACTGACGACGCTACGCTATTGGTGAGCACAATTCGGGACAATGCGCTCTCAGACTGGTCCCCTGATCAGGTTGCAGAAATCTGCACGGCGGTAAGGCAGAAGACGGGTGGGCTGACCAGCACCGCAGATAAGAAGTGGCAGAAGGTAACTGCATTCTCGCGCTTCCTTTCGGCGTCTGAGGCGACCAAGTTAAAGAGCGGCGACATGTCGCAGAAGGCGATGATCGCCATGGCGTGCAAGAGGGCTCATGCGATCGGCATGTACACTCTGTCCGAGGGGGGCAAGGGTCAACTCGCAGCGGTGGCATCGTCCCAACTCACTGGCATTACCAACGACATGTGGTACGACATTCCGGCGCAGTTCAAGCTGAAGCTGGCTACCATGAAGGCACGAGACTGGGAACACATAACTACATGGGAATACGATTCTCCAGACTTCCTCGAGAGCGAATCGCGGCACTAGACCGCGTACCCCGAGGGAGACCCGCCACGCGGGCAGGACTGGTACATCGACGAGCCCGACTTCGTGCGACTGAGCAGTCGCCTGATGAAGGGCGGCAAGCACGCGGCCAAGCAAGTGCGGGACGACCGCCCCGCCCCGCCGCCGCCGACCGCCCCGCCTCCCGCCATTGGCGACTTCGGCGCCTACAAATCCATGTACGGGGCGATGAACGCGTACCATATGTACGCTCATCCAGGAATGGTGCCTCCGCCAGGGATGGTGCCTGGCCAATCGTCACACTCTTGGTCGCCTCCGCCAGGGATGATGCCGAGGCCCTAGGCGCCACCGCAAGATGCGCCCTCACCACAGGAGGCGCCCCCGCCTGCGGCCCCACCGGCCGCGGGAGGAACGCCCGCCCCGCTCGGCGACTTATCTGATGAGGAGGCAGCGCTTCGCAAGACAGTGCGCAACCGTAAGGAGGCCGTGGCCCTGAATAAACGTGCAGCAGCTGCTGGGGGCGATGCCGATGGCGTCGAGGGCGCCGACGACGATGGCGACGAACTCGCCGACGAGGAGGGGGGCCCGCCGAAGAAGGTCATGAAGGGCGCCCCGCCGAAGAAGGCCATGAAGGTGGCCATGCGGAGGCCCTCGGCGAAGCCGAAGCCGCTGCCCAAGGCCCCGATGACGGGGGCCCCGAAGGTCGAGTACCGCGCGGGGTATATACTCACGCAGCCAGACAAGTCCCAGTACAGGGCTGTCCTGGGGCGGTCAGACAGGCGCATCCGCTGGGGCACGGGCAGCACGCGCCAGGAGGCTTTCACCAAGGCGATGAAGTGCATAGACGAGCGCTCGTAGCCGCTTGTCTGCTCTGCTCAACGCCGATCGCGACTCCTCGTGATTTGTTGCGCTGTCCTATAACGCTTGTGTGCATTGTTCATGTATGTCTGCATGGTGCAATGTAAACTGCAAGTCGTTGTTCCATCATATGCGAGGGGCACCCGTCGCACAATCCTCTGTTGCGATTGCAGATGTCGCATTCATGCTACCATCACTCAGTATCAGTTTTGGCTCAAGCCACGTCGGCGGGGCCACCGAAGCGTCGCAAGACAGACGCCGAAGCACTGATTGAGTTACACAGGGGCCCATATGTATCTGAGCGGAGTCTTTCATACATTCTCAAGTACGTACGAGATAACGGTATACCAGATAACATTTCGCGTTATGCGCAGTGCAGCGCAAGACAGAAATTAATCGGTGCCGAATCGAACCAGTACGGTGACGTGCTTGTCGGCATTGATATGCCATTGAACAGCGGTAAGAGCTTCAAGAACTTGGCGCGCGCCCCTGGCTCGTACTTGTACTCGACGGCGAAACGGAGCAAGGGGTTCAGAGATCTGTTGCGCCGCCAGCTCGCCAAGCACCCGTGCTCCCTAGCATCCCCATGGCGCATCTGTTTATATTTCGACGGTATCTCACCGCGTGACCCGTTGGCCAAGGGCAAGGACCACCGAGGGGTGGATGCTGTATACTGGTCGTTTCTAGAGTTCGATGAGTTCTTGCAGGACGAAGACGCATGGCTCGTGCTCAGCACCGCTCGGGTTTCCAAAGTGAGGGACATGCCTGGAGGGATCGGGCAGTCGGTTGCAATGACGTGCAACGAGCTCATGTTCAATGCGTCTGGCGGGGTGAACTTTCGCACGACTGGAGTTATCTTGGACGTGTCAGAAGCAGGGGAATGCCACAAGGCACGCGACTATAATCGCGAGGTTGGGCTGCACTGTGGGCGACGAAGAAGCCCTCCGTGAATCCCACATGAGCAAAGGGCACGCGGGCACCAAACCGTGTGCCATATGCAGGAACGTGCTCAACCAGAAATACGACTATGCGTCGCACGACGCGTCTGGTACATTTTTATCGGACGCATGCCTCGACAGAAGCAAACGCGTCGTCAACGCAGACGCGCAGATCGTTGCTATCTTGGAAAGGCTACGCCCTGACTGGGAAAGGTACGACCGCGGTGACATTAGCGACAACAAGTGGAAGGAAATCACGCAGCTAAAGGGTTGGAACTTTCATCCGACGCACGGTGCCTTGGACGCCAACCTCGCCTACGGTGTCACGTCGCCCCTCTGCTTCGATTGGATGCACATCTATAGCGTCAACGGCATCGCGGCTATAGAAGTGAAAGCTTTCACTGAGAACAAGGCGGTTGGCAAACTCTGCAGCGCCGAAGATCCCAACGACTATCTTTCAAACTGGACATGGCCCCACAAGTTTCACGCCGCCAATGCCGTGTTCGCACTGGGCGAACTACAGGCAAACGCATCGCAAGAGCTGTCTATGATTCCCGTGCTGGCGCGTTTCATCAGGCAAGTCATTGCCAAGCTGCCTGATGCAGGCACCATCTCGGGTCAGATTGCAAGTTTACTTGCACTGTGCGATGCCATTGATATGGTTATTCTCTTGTCCAGGGGCCTCGTGACTGCACGTTAGCTGGATGTCGCCGTGACGAAGCATTTGGACCTACACAAGCGCACGTACGGGACTAAATGTTGGGTTTACAAGCGCCATAATTATGGCAACTCATCTTGCCGACATGCACTTCAAATTCGGACCCTTGAACTGCTTCGTCCACGAGCGGAAGCACAAAGTTTGCAAGAAGTTTGCAAAGGACCATCTGTGCATGAGGACCCCCGAGAGGTCATTGACGACGCAGCTCACGGCGCAGCACAGTTACGACATGGAGCACTTCAGCATCTCAACGACGCTGGTCGACCCCGTAGCCGCCACCAAGAAGCTCATGGGCGTCTTGAAGGAGTTGCGTCCGCAGACGCAATCGGCATCATCGAGCCTCACGGCGCGGGCCAAGTACGGGCCGATCCATAGAGGAGACATATGCTTGCTGGGACGTGCTGCAGGACATGCAGCCGTGCAGGTCTGGTTCCATGTAGATTGTGACACAGAGACTGCGCCCTCAGGGCCTCTATGCTTAGTCTTGGAATTGCAGACTCGGCACGTGCACAGCGCAGATTACTATTCTAGGTACTCCATAGACGAAGATAATAATCCCGTGCTCCTTCCTTTGGACTCGCTAAGGCACCCTGTGATTAACAGGCGTCTCGGCGATGCAATCACTTGCATTTGGCCAGTTGAGTATCGCAAATTGGAATGCTGACGCGTTTGCGATGTAGAAGTATACATCTTCACATCAATGAATACATCTTCAAATCATCCCGCAAGAAACACAACATCGAAATTGAAACGACATTGAACGCCCCGAAATCAAATATATGTCACCCGAAAAAACTATCATGTTATCCGAAATAAATCAACGTGCTAACTTTTATAACTGAGTTATAACTAAGTTATAACTCCGCCTAACAGTTATTAACTTCCAGTGCCTTCAGGTAGCTCCTCCAGGAAGCCCTGCGGCAGCCGGCCTGCCGGGCTGAGGGCGGGGCGAGCCTGCACCTCGTCCAACTTCAGCGCGAAGTCGAGGCTGGTCCCCTCGGGGCCGCGGGCGGAGCCGGTCCGAAGGGGCTCCCCCTCCTTGCCGTTGCCCTCCTGGCGTTGGCAGAGGAAGATGATCCACTGCGCTCCGCTCGACCAGTTCACCCCGGCCCTGGCGAGGAGGTGCCTCAGGTCCCCCGAGTCCAACTCGCCCAGGTCGATCTCCTCAGGACTCGAAGCTGGAACGGGCACGGTCGGCGACTCGAAGCGCACCGACTGGATGCCCCCTGCTGGAGCAGGCGAGCCTCGCCTGGGGGGTGCCGCGTATCCGCCGCTCGCCTGGGCGGCGGGGGCGTTGGCCCCCGGGCTCCGTCCACCCCGGGCCACTCGTCGTCGAATGCCGGCGAACATCCCGGCGGGGGGGGGCGGCTGTCGCGGCGGCTCGGACGGCGGCGCGGCCGGCTTCTCCACCAAGATGGACGAGGCAAAGAGGTACTCCAGCCGACGATCCGACTGCCTGGTGGAAGCAGGTGACGATCGAGCACTTGTCGCCGAGCCGGGTGGCCTCGTGGACCTGCTCGCGGTGCTCGCAGAGGCAGACCGTGGCGTTTTTGCCGTCGACCGGGGGGGGGCAGGTCCGAGGCTTGGCCGTCCTCCCAGAGCAACGTCATGGGAGTCGTGTCGGCAGCGTCGCGGCACCCACCTGGGGCCAAGGGCCTCATCGCGCCCTTGATGAGGACGCCCACCTTGACAGCCTCGCAGGGGCGCTCTTCGATCTCGACCTCGGTCTCGGATTCCTGATCCAATAGTTCTGCCACTCCCCCAGCTACGCCTGGCTCCGCTGCCCCTGCCGCTTCGCGGCGGCGGCGTCGCCGGCGGCTGCAGCGCCTGCAGCAGCAGGCCAAGTAGAATAAGTACATCGCGCACAGGCGAACTCCACTGGCGAGGGTCCGCCCAGCGAGGACGCAGAAGCGGCAGGGGGTCAAACGCGCGTGCGCGCCGATGTCGACGATGGCCGCCGAGTCGAGGGCTGCGTACTCCACGCAGTGGAACTCCCTCTCGCCCTGGGGCTGGCAGCCCCCGCAGCGGCATAGGTGCGCCCACTTCCCCTGCTCGAGCTTCTGCCTGAGGGCCCGGCTGCTCGCTCCCTTGATCTCGATGTACTGGACCCAGGGCCATTTCTTGCCGACCCTCTCCGGCTCGTCGAAGACGAGGCCGATCCGCGCCTCGTGCCCGCCCAGCTTCACGAGGAGGTCGTTGGGCTTCCTGCCGGTCCCGCGTGCCCGCACGGTCCTCTGGTAGAAGGAGGTCGTCGTGTTCGGGCCCGTGGCGGGTCCTGTCCAAACGACCGCGATGGGCTGCGGCGGCGCCGGCGGCAAAAGGCGATCCACCTCTGCTTCGCCAGGCGGCTTCCGCCCGCAGCAGCAACGCGCACGGCATAAGCCGGCGGCCGCTCCGATGACCCAGCGCACCCAGGCGCACGGCGCGAAGATGGTCCGCAGGCTGTGCGCCGCCAGGGCGAGCATGCCGGTGCAGCACAGGGTGATGAGGGTCCAGCCGACGATGGGCCAGGCCGCGCCGAACGAGCGCACGCCGCAGCTGTCGGTCAAATGCAGGACCCAGCCGCCGTCGGAACGCAGCCAGCCGGTATCCTGTTGGGTCGAGAAGGCGCCTTTGAGGTTCGCAAATGAGTGTGCCCAGCCCCCCATCCCTTCGGCCTTCCAGGACCAGGTGTGGTTCCCCAGGTTCTCCCAGCTGAGATAGCCCAAGCCCCACCCCCCAATCCAGGAGGTGTCTGAAGTGCCGTTGGGGGAAGGAGGCTGGGTGGAGTCCTTCCTGGGCGGGGCGGCCGGCGGCACAGGGGGGACGCCAGGCGGGACGACCCCCGCCGGCGGCAACCCATGCTCGCCTGACCCTGACCCCGCTGGGACCTTGGGGCCTCCTATCATTGGGCTCCCACGGTTCCCCTTCCGCAACTGGGGGTCCTGGTCCTCGTCGTCGTAATACCACAGGCCGTAATCCCCCAAAGTCTGCGGGGTGGGCCAACCCGCGGCCGTGGCCAGCAGCGCGGCGGCCCGCAGCAGCGTGCGGCTGGGGGTCCCCGGCGCCACACGCCGCCGACCTCCCCTCCGCGCGCGCCCGGCCCCGGCCGGCAGCGGCAGCCCAGCCGCCCCCCAGCCGAGGGGCGCCCCGCACGGCGCGGCCGCGCTCGGGCGGGGATCTTCCGGGCTCCCGGAGTGGGCCTCCGGGATGCCCTGGCCTCTGGGCCACCTTAGGCCGGCCCCCAGCTTGGCCCACAAAAGCTAGAGCCCCAGAGGGGGAAGCAGGGGAGAGCAAGCAGAGGCAGGGGCAAGCACAGGAGAGGACGGGCCCCCGCATTCCTGGGGCCAGGGAGAGCCTAGCGTTTGACCAAACAACAAATCGCCCGTCGTCTGTCGTCCGTCGTCGCCACCGCCGCCGCCACCGCCGTCGCCGTCGCCGCCGTCGTCGTTAATCATCGTCGTCGTCGCCGACGCCACCGCCACAATCATCATCGTTGTCGCCGCCGCCGCCATCAATGTCGCCGCCGCCGCCACCGTCGTCGCCGTTGTCGTGGCCGCCGTCGTCGTCGTTTGCGTGGTCGTCGTTGTCGTCGTCGGCGTCGTCGGCGTCGTCGTCCGTCGTCGCCCGTCGTCTGTCGTCCGTCGTCGTCGTCGTCGTCGCAGCGGCCGCCGCCGCCGCCGCAGTCGTCGTCGTCGTCGTCGTCGTCGTCGTCGTCGTCGTCGTGGTCGTCGTCGTCGTCGTCGCTCCCTCGGGCGGCGCGCGGCGGCGCCCGAGGGCAGGAGCTTCACCCGCTGGAGGTCGCGGAGCAGCACGGAGACCAGGCTGCCCTGGGGGGGGCGCACACGACCGCTTCGGCGGCGGGGTGGCGCGCTGCTCCACGCCCTCCACCTGCTCCTCCTCCCCTCGTTCTCCTCAGTCTCGTCCTCTCCTCTCCTCTCATTCCCCTCATTCTCCTCTCCTCATTCTCCTGTGTCTTCGCTCCCTTCTCCTCCCCCTTCCCTCTTCTTCTGCTCCGCCAGGCCTCCTTTGTCCTCTTTGCTCTCCCCTCCCCTTCAGGGGGATGGCGGGGGTGGCTGGGCGGGCTTGCTCCGACAAGCCATCCTCGATCTTCAGCTCTCCTGCCAGGAAAGTTGTTCGGGCGCCCTGTTGGGTTCGTTAGGGAGTCTGTGCAAACACGCGGAACGCACGTTGTTGGAAGCATACGCACCACATACGAAACTGTGTGTGCCGGTTTTGTGTGTACCCCTTCCTTTCTCGGGTACTCCTTCATACCTCCTCTCTGCTCCCTGCTCCCTGATCCCTGGGGCTGGGGGCGCAACAGACCGGCACCTGAGCGTTGTGTGAGCACTCGTTATCCCCCCACGGGATACCGAGTGCGCAGAACACACTTAATTTCGGTGTCGAAGCTGTGTATGCCGATTTTGTGTGTTCAACCCTTCCCTTTTCAGAAATTCCTGCCTCAGGACCAGGGCACATCGTGGACAGCATCGTCGCTGCGCCCCACCCGGGCGACTGGGCGACTCTCTTCGATTTCCCCCTTGGCGAGGACCATCATAGGCAACAGCTGTTCTGGTGGGGACCATCATAAGCCCCATCCCCTCGGCAGCTGCCATCATAGGGGTTGCCGGGGGTCCCGCTCCCATTCTTGACACTGTAACCTTACGGCGCCATTGCCCATGGCGGGGGCCGAGGCTCTCCCCACGGCCCCTCGGCCAACGAAGACGGCCGTAGGGAGGGGTGCCAACGTACCTCCACAACTCAGACATTCAAGACCTTAAGGCGCCAATTGCCACCATTAACTGTTTTCCTCCTCAAGGCCGTGAACGGGATTAATTCCCCTGCCGGCTGATTGTGCCTGTCAGAATCAGTTCACCTCCCCGTTGTGGCGCATTGGCCACCCCCCAATTTTCCAACATGCCCAAATGGATTACGGGTCGGCCCGTGCCGCCACGGCGTCACGTGTGCCGGCGTGGTGTCACTCATGCGGTCGCTCCCTCTCACCAACCCCTACCCGGGTGATGGTTCGATCCGTGCCGCCGCGGCGTCACACGTGCCGCCGTGGTGTCACTCATGTGGTCGCTGCCGCTCCCCACCCCTTACCCGAGCACATCAAGGACTGTAAACCGCAGGCTGGGGCACGTCAACACCTACTGTCCCCGCCCCAACTTGCCCATCCTTCCCCCTTCTTGTCGCTCCCTCATCCTCCCCGTTCCCTCTTCTTTTCACCCCCCTCCCCCTCCTCTCTCGCCCCCTCCTGTGTCTTCGCTCCCTTCTCCTCCCCCTTCCCTCTTCTTCTGCTCCGCCAGGCCTCCTTTTTCCTCTTTGCTTTCCCCTCCCCTTCAGGGGGATGGCGGGGGTGGCTGGGCGGGCTTGCTCCGACAAGCCATCCTCGATCTTCAGCTCTCCTGCCAGGAAAGTTGTTCGGGCGCCCTGTTGGGTTCGTTAGGGAGTCTGTGCAAACACGCGGAACGCACGTTGTTCAAGCGTAAGCACCGCATACGAAACTGTGTATGCAAGTTTGGCGTGCACTCCTCCCCTTTTCAGGAATCCCCGCCTCTGCATACTCCTTCATACCTCCTCTCTGCTCCCTGCTCCCTGCTCCCTGATCCCTGGGGTTGGGGGCGCAACAGACCGGCACCTGAGCGTTGTGGGCCCCACTGGGAACTCCACCGAAAGCACCAGTGCCACCGCCCGCATGCGTCACGCACACCCATAACGGCACTCCCATCACACGTTGCGTGGCCCCACAAGGAGCTCCACCAAAGGCCCCAATGCCACCGCCCGCCCCCCCCTTTTCGGCACACCCCTCACACGTTTCGCTGCCCCACAAGGAGCTCCACCGAAGGCCCAAATGCCACCGCCCGCATGCGTCACGAACACCCATATCGGCACACCCCTCACACGTTTCGCGGCCCCACAAGGAGCTCCACCGAAGGCCCCAATGCCACCGCCCGCATGCGTCGCGCACACCCATTTCGGCACACCCCTCACACGTTCGTGGTCCCACAGGGAGCTCTACCGAAGGCCCCATAGGGAGCTCCACCGAAGGCACCAATGGCTGCGCTCGCATGCGCCCACCGCACCCATTTCGGCACACCCATCACACGTGTCGCGGCACCACAAGGAGCACCACCGAAGGCCCCAATGCCACCGCCCGCATGCGTCGCGCACACCCATATCGGCACACCCCTCACACGTTTCGCTGCCCCACAAGGAGCTCCACCGAAGGCCCAAATGCCACCGCCCGCATGCGTCACGAACACCAAAATCGGCAAACCCCTCACACGTTTCGTGGCCCCACTGGGAGCTCCACAGAAGGCCCCAGTGCCACCGCCCGCATGCGTCACGCACACCCATCTCGGCACACCCCTCAGACGTTTCGTGGCACCACAAGAGCTCCACCGAAAACTCAGGTGCCACCGCCCGCATGCGTCACGCACACGCATGTCGGCACACCTCTCACGCGCTTCGTGGCCCCGCAGGGAGCTCCACCGAAGGCCCCAATGCCACCAGCCGCATGCGTCACGCACACGCATGTCGGCACACCTCTCACGCGCTTCGTGGCCCCGCAGGGAGCTCCACCGAAGGCCCCAGTGCCACCGCCCGCATGCGTCACGCACACCCATGTCGGCACACCCCTCACACGTTTCGTGGCCCCATATGGAGCTCCAACGAAGGCCCCACTGCCACCGCCCGCATGCGTCGCGCACACCCATTCCGGCACACCCCTCACACGTTCGTGGTCCCACAGGGAGCTCTACCGAAGTCCCCATAGGGAGCTCCACCGAAGGCACCAATGGCTGCGCTCGCATGCGCCCACCGCACCCATTTCGGCACACCCATCACACGTGTCGCGGCACCATAAGGAGCTCCACCGACGGCCCCAATGGCTTCGTTCGCATGCGCCCACCGCACCTATTTCGGCACACCTCTCACGCGCTTCGTGGTCCCATAGGGAATCCCACAGACGGCCCCAGAGGCTGCTTTCGCATGCGCCCACCGGACAAATTTTGGCACCCTCACACGCTTCGTGGCCCTTTAGGGAGCTCCTCCGAATGCGGTGCACACAACGACGGTGCTTACAACTGCATATGGTTGGGTCCCTCGTCAGGCTAATGTTTTCCAGGGACCGCGCCTCGAAAGCCCGCTTTGGGCACGTGCTTCGCTAGGGCAGCGCTACAGGTATTTCGAACGACGGTCTACATGTGCAGACCGCGACAGACTGTATCGGAGTCGCAAAAACCAGCTTCCAAGGCCAAATTTGCTTGTTTGTTCTACGCCGTCGTATACTGCGCCCATTTTACGTCTTCGTGAATTTCATACAAGACGTTCAGGTTAGCGACGTCCGACGGGGCCAGTCGGCGCGTGCGCCGGCCACCTGCGACGACGAGTCTTGGCTTTGAGAACGGGTTGCGTTTTTGACCAGGGCCTGCGCCTTGAAAGCTTGCTTTGGGCAAATTGTACGGCGGTTCGCTTGGGCAGCGCTGCAAGTATTTCGAACGAGTCCAAATGCACATGCCGCCACAGAAACACACCAGCATCGCAAAACTGAGTTCTCAAGGCCAACTTCTTGTGTGTCATTCAATGCCGTCGAATGGCGCGCCCCTTCTGTGTTTTCGCGCATTTCCCGTAGGACGGTCAGGTAAGCGACGTCCAACCAACCAACCAACCAACCGACCAACCAACCAACACCACCCACCGCCACCACAACCGCCACCACCAACACCACCACCACCACCACGCACACGTACGCGCTCACGCACACGCACACGCACATGCACACTCACACGCACGCACACACACACACACACAATCACGCACGCACGCACGCACGCACGCACGCACGCATTCCACACACCACCACCAACCAGGAGAGGGAGGGAGATGGAGGAGCATGCGGCATGTGCAAGTGTACTGAGCGACCCTAAGTCCAGGATCGCCGTTACTCCAACAGACAGACAAATCGAGACATCCCAACAATCTGGGCGCGAACGGAGGAGTGAGATATCCACTGGCTGCTCCCCCTTCGGCGTGCTGAAACCAGCGCCTCGCCCGAGACATGCTCATAATATGCTCTGAACGCAGTCGGGCTTGGCCGCCAAAGCCAACAGACCGCTCGAGATATCCTCGCGATCTGGGCCGCCTGGGATGCGAAAGCCAGGCATCCCGGCATTCTGGGCGCGAACAGGTCCGTGTCATACCCCTTGGCGCCCCCCCCCCTGGGTGGACTGAAACCAGCGCCTTGCCCGAGACATCCTCAGGGCACAGACGAACTGGCCACCAAAACAGGCAAACCGCTCGAGACATCATCGCGATCTGGGCCGCTTGGGGTGCGAAAGCCAGCGCCTCGCCCGAGATGTCCTCAAAATCAGCTTCGAAAGCGGAGGATGTCAGGTGGGTAAACAAACAGATTGCTAAAAACATTCCCGCAATCTGGGCGCGAACGGAAGATTGAGATACCCCTCTGGCGCCCCTCCTTGGGAGTGCTGAGACCAACGCCTCGCCAAAGACATCCTCATAATCTGCTCTCACTGCTCCGTCATCATCGTCATGTTCAGAACAATAATCCGCCGGCCCCCTTGTGGGGCCACCAGGCTGTAGGCACGTGATTCGCAGTTTCCTGTACCAGTCGTAGGTTGTAGTTTCCAGTGTTACAGTTCTGCTTCTTGCTGGTTAATGTAACTAGTTGACTTCTTGCTGGTTGCTGTAACTAGTTGATTGACCGCGCGAGGGGGGGGGGAGGCCCAAACAGGATTTTTAGCCTCACCTGGGCGCGTTGTCTGAATTGCTGGGGGGGCTCGAAATCGACACCCCTCACGCAGATCCGCAGGGTCAGGGTCAAAAAACACAGGAGATTTGCCACATTTCTGAAAGTCGGTGCCACCCCTCACGCAGATCCGCGGGGTCAGGGTCCAAAAACACAGGACATTTGCCACATTTCTGAAATTCGGTGCCACTCCTCACGCAGATCCGCGGGGTCAGGGTCCAAAAACACATGGGATTTGCCACATTTCTGAAATTCGCTGCCACCTCTCACGCAGATCCGCGGGGTCGGGGTCCAAAAACACAAAGGATTTGCCACATTTTTGAAATTCGGTGCCACCTCTCACGCAGATCCGCGGGGCCAGGGTCCAAAAACACAGGGGATTTGCCACATTTCTGAAATTCGGTGCCACCCCTCACGCAGATTCGCGGGGTCAGGGTCCAAAAACACAGGGAGTTTGCTACATTTCTGAAATTCGGTGCCACCCCTCACGCAGATCCGCGGGGTAAGGGTCCAAAAACACAGGGAGTTTGCTACATTTCTGAAATTCGGTGCCACCCCTCACGCAGATCCGCGGGGTCAGGGTCCAAAAACACAGGGGATTTGCCACATTTCTGAAATTCGGTGCCACCCCTCACGCAGATCCGCGGGGTCAGGGTCCAAAAATAAGGGGATTTGCCACATTTCTGAAATTCGAACCCATCACGCACATCCATCGCAAGGCGTGGTAACCCAAACTGCGAGAACTCCCTCGGCCCTTTAATCGCAAGGTGTGGTAACCAAGCCCTTAAACCATACACGTCTTACCAATCGCCAGGTGTGGTAACCCCTCTTGTGATCAGTTGGTTTTGCTGATTGCGACTCGGCTTCGCATGAAGTTTCGATACTGCTTCACGACAGCGCCAAGGCCTCATGACTTAGCTCTTCCATGGCCCATTCTCCGAGAGAGGGGGCCGGCGGCAGGGGGCGAAGCCCTTACGGATAAGAATGACACTAAGAACAGAAATAAAACATGGCACTAATGATTCTATACATAGTAATACGATCAATCATCATCATCATCATCATCATCATCATCATCATCATCATCAGCAGCAGCATCATCATCATCATCATCATCATCATCATCATCAGCATCATCATCATCAGCATCATCATCATATCATCATCAGCATCATCATCAGCATCATCGTCATCATCATCATCATCATGAGCAGCAACATCATCATCATCAACATCACCATCACCATCGGCATCTTCAGCACTATCATAATACGGACCTCCTCCTCCACATCATCATCACCACCACCATCAGCAGCATCAGCATGTGCATCAGCATTTGCATCAGCATCATCAGCATCATCAGCGTCGCTGTCGTCGTCGCCATTTCCATTTATCGTTAGTGGCATCCCCATGTCTGACCTCATCACCATCAACACCATCACTATCATCAGCATCATCATCATCACCATCATCATCATAACTATCATCATCATCAGCATCATAATGATCATAATCAGCATTACCACCAGCATCATCATCATCATCAACATCATCATGCTCCTTACTATCATTATCAGTATCATCATCACCATCATCATCATCATCATATTCATCGTCGTCACCACCATCATCATCAGGTAAAGGAAGGAGGAGGAGGACGCGGTCTGCGTAATTGTTCACTGCGTGGAATTGCCCAGATTTGCATCTAGTTGGATGGGCCTGTTCGCCGCGAGTGCCAAGGCGCAAACATGTTCGAACATGAACGGGCTTGAGGGAGGTTGAGTGCGAGTGTCAGTTAGGTCTAGTTATGAAAGTCTGATTACGAGTGGGCCTGAGAATGCGTAAGTCAGAGTATGAGTGAATCTCGGCGGAAGCGGGTCTGATTGTGGGTGAGTCTGGGTGTGAGTGGTTCTGAGTCTGAGTATAATGAGTACGAGTCTGAGTCTGAATATGTCTGGGTACAAGTAAGTATGAGGAAGAGTGAATCTGAGGGTGGGTGGGTCTGACTGTGAGCGATTCTGCGTGTGAGTAATAAGTCTGAGTGTGAGTGAGTCCGAGTATGAATATGATGAGTATGAGTCTGAGTCTGAGTGGGTCCGAGTACGAGTGAGTCTCAGGGTGAGCGGGTCTAAGTGTGAGTGAGTCTGAGTGTGCGTACATCTGAGTGTGAGTGAGTCTGAATATGGGTATAATGGATACGAGTCTGAGTATGAGTGATTCTGAGCACGGGCGAGTTTGAGCACAAGTGAGTCTGAAGCATCCTCGCGATCTGGGCCCTTTGGGGTGTTGAAACCAACGCCTCACCCGAATCATCCTGAAAACCCGATCTGAACGCAAACGAGCCTGGCCACCAAAGCATGCAAACCGTCCGAAACAGTCTCGCAACATGGGCCTCCTGTGGCGCCTCGCCCGAACGATCCTCAACATCTGCCCTGACAGCGGAGGATGTCGGGTGGTGAAGCAGGCAAACCGCTCGAGACATCCCCATACTCTGAGCGCGAACAGAGGGGGAGATAACCCCTGACGGCTCCCCTTGGGAATGCGAAAATCAGTACCTCACTCGAAACATCCTCAAACTCGGATTCGAAAGCGGAGGATGTCGGGTGGTGAAACAAGCGAGCCGCTCGAGGCATCCCCGCAATCTGGGCGCGAACGGAAGAATGAGACACCCCCCCCCCTGGCGTCCCCCCCTGGGTGTGCTGCATGGGCTCACCCGAGACATCCTCACAATATGCTCCGTCCTTCTCCTCCTCCTCCTCCTCATCATCATAATTATCAGCATCATACTCATCATCATAACCATCACCATCACCATCACCATCAGCATCAGCATCAGCATCAGCATCAGCATCATCATCATCACCATCACCATCATCATCACCTTCACCATCACCATCACCATCACCATCGCCATCATCATTACCATAACCATCGCCATCATCATCATCATCATCATCACCATCATCATCATCATCATCATCATCATCATCATCATCATCGTCATCATCATAATCACCATAAACAACAGCATCATCATCATCGTCACCGCCACCATCATCTTCATCATCATCAGCATCATCATCAGCATCATCATAGTAATCAGCATCCTCGCATAGTGAACATGTGTGTGACTCGAAGTGAGGAGGAGGAGAAGGAGGTAGAAGTAGTCGGCGCGGTCGGAGTAATAACAAGAACCCAATTCTTTGAATATGGGGAATTACCAGAACCCCGTTCGTGTGATATGAAGAATAACAACGAGCCCCGTCCCCAGGAAATGAGGAAAAACAGGAATCTCATCCTTAGGATATGGGTCAAATATTCCGATAGTCGCCTCAAATTACCAACACGGTCTGCGGGCCGCATAGGAAGGGGGCTCCTGCTCGAGACTTCTTTGCAATTCACTCACAAACAAGCTCCCTCTCGAAACTTCTTCCGTGTGAGCGTATGAGTGTTTGAGTGATCGGGTGAGTGTGTGTGTGTGTGCGATGATACTATAAGGTAATATTGCTGCTTATGCTGCTGATGGTGACACCGATGATACTGGTGATAATGATGATGATTGTGATGATGATGAGGTTGATGATGATGATGATGATGATGAGGATGTTAATGATGAGGACCATGATGATCTAGGGCTCCCAACTTCGCGCTTCGCGCTGCGCGAAGCGCGAATAACTTCGCGCTCTCGCGCCGCCCTCCCAAAGGGAGAATAGGAGGACGAGGAGGAGGGGGAGAAGGAACGAGGACCGCGAAGCGCGAAGCGCGAATAACTTCGCGCCCTCGAGGGAGCCCTTGATGATGGTGACGACGACATCGACGAGGACGACGATGATGCTGATGCTGATGCTGATGCTGATGCTGATGCTGATGCTGATGCTGATGCTGATGCTGATGATGATGATGATGATGATGATGATGATGATGATGATGATGATGATGATGATGATGTTGGAGGGGAGGGGGTGAGGTGATCCTGCGCGGGGGGTGTCCAGAGAAAACAAGAACGACGCTTTGGATGCGGGGGGCTAAAAAAAAGGGCGTGCAGCGGCGGCTACGCGGCGGGGCGGGCGAGGCGGGGCGGGGCTCGGCGGGAGGGACCTCCACGATCTGCCGGAGCGAGCGCTTCAAGACCCGCACCTTGGGCGGCACCCGCATCCCGACAACGCACAACGTCGGACGCGGCGGCACCACCAGCGGCGGGCTTGCCGCCTGTCGATCCCGCTAACGGCGCCGATCCTGCTGGCTCTGCTCCTCCTGGACATGAAATCCTCGTCCTCCTGCTGCTGCTCATCTAAGCTGGTCGTCGTCGGCACATACCCGTAATCATTACAATAATCATGGCCCTTATCGGTGTCGACGTTGTCGCACCAACTGCCATCGTCGTCATCAGCGTCGGCATCATCGTTCGTATCGATCCTTCTCCATCTAATCATAAGCATCGCCACCATCAGCCTCTCTACCTCTCTATAGCTATGTATGGACATATGGAGACGGAGAGAGAGAGAGAGGACGAGGAACGAGAGAGAAATATAAAACTGTACATATGTGTCTACAGATATAGATATACATACATACATCTGCGGATACAATCCTAAAATGTGTGTGTACATATTTACACGGATATCAACATCTCCCACTATCCCTCATATTGATGGGACAAATCGTCCACCCTCGGCCCACAGCCACACTCTGAGACGTCTGATGTTTGCTCCTGCGCCTCCTCCTGTTGCTGCTCCTCCTGCTTCATCATCAGCAACAGCCTCAAGATGCAACCCGCTGCCCCTTCCTGCAAACACCTTCGTTGCCTCACTGCACGTTGTCTCGTTTTCCTCCTTATCGTTTTGGCTCATCCTCGCCCACTCAAAGCCGCGGCGGGACGAACCAGCGAATGGAAGGCGGCCAGGTCGAAAATAACATCAGCATTCCACATCTCCTGACGCGAAGCGTTCGCGTCGCTGCTGGAACAGATTTGGCCACCGTAGACGCACAAGTGTGCATACGTGCAAGCACGTGGAGGCGTGCGTCCCAGGTGTACGCCGTCAGGCGCGCAGGCGCGTGCGAGCACACAACACACACAGAGCACACAGCACAGACACAACACACTCTCACACACACACACATACACACACACACACACACGCACACACGCACACACACACACACACGAACCCGCACCCGCATACACACAGACACACACACACATGTTTTCCCCAAGGGAGCGAGCGACGTCACTGCAGCAATCGGCCACGCTTAAACTCCATCAAGCGTAGCGTATGGGTGGACGACGCAAGGCTGGTCGCATGTGGAAAATGAAGGTGACCGCGCCAGGTGGACACGAACAAAAACAACATACACCGAACAAAAGAACTGGAAACAAAGGCCTGAACTGTATTAGGCGGTCTCAGGGGCCAAGCACACACACAATGTTTGGCGCCGCGGCCCCGCACACAGCGACGAGGCGAAGAAAAACAAGACGAAAAAGAAAGAGAAATGGCAAAGATCCAGTCATGTATCAACCGTGCCATTCGCAAGCCTGGGCGTGGGCAGCGAAAGTACGAGCACAGCGATGGACGACAAGTGGAGGCGCAGTGCAGCCCAAACGGACGCGGACGAGGAACAAGGCAGCCAACGGACAACAAGGCGGCGGGCGACCCACGACGCGGCAAGAACGTGCGGAATAATGTAGCCCTTCGGACCTCCCCTCTGGCATCTTTGCCTGACGTGGAAGGCACTGCCTCTTTAGCTGCTGGCGAGTCGCAACGCCCCGTTGGGCCTGCCAGACACGCAGCGGGCAGCAGCTACTTGGAACGTCTGCGACGGAGGAGGAGATGCACCACAGACCCGGCTGAGAGGCGTGGCCTCTCAAAGGAATCTGGCGACTACCCCAGCAAGAATCGCGAAACCGCATGACGACCAGAACAAATGAGGTACCCTCCAACTTCGAGGATCTGCAGCCTACAGCGGCTGGATGCGATTGGCAAACACCCTATTGCGAAGACGTCCCCGCAAGGTCTGGATTTCAGGAAATGTGCCGAACATTTGTCCGACATCTAACTGTCAAGCTTGCCGCTAGACACCGGCGAGCCCGACGACATCGACCTTGTCGAACCGATTGCTGTCGACGAAGTGAATGCGGAATCAGGTCAATGTGAAAATGCCGAGCTGCGGACACCAACTCGTCGGCGGCGACTCGCTGGTGCAATATCTTACGGAAGCGTTCAACGTCATTTTGCAAAGTGGTTGCGTGCCAGACGATTGGAGAGAATCCTTCTTTAAGCTTCTGCACAACGGTGGGGGCACGGCGACTCCGACCAATTGGAGGCCGATTGCAATCTTGAGTGTCTCGTGCAAAGTGCTTGCCCGAGTTATCTTCCACAAGATGCGCAGGATCCTAGATTCGCAGCAATCCGAAAAGCAGCTTGGTTTCCCCAAAAAACGCTGGACGTCCGACTACGCCTTGATCGTGGCCGAAAGCGTCGTCAGCCGGAGCTTGGAATACAGTGCTGACCTGTGATTGGTAAGCGTGGATGTGCGCAAAGCGTTTGACCGCGTTGAACAGCCGGCGACCTTTCGTGCTATTCAGGATCATGGGCTCCCGTCCAGCTACCGCAATTTATTGCACACTTTGTACAGCAATCGAAAACAATGATCGTGTGCGACGACCTCCGTTTCCCAATCACTCGAGGCGTCAGACAACGCGACATGTTATCACCTCTTCTGTTCAACAGTATCCTGGAAGCCGCGATCCGCGAGTGGAAAACAAAATTGCATGGCCAGGGTCTGGGTGTCCACCCAGACGGCGCCACCGAACGATGGACCAACATCCGTGTCGCAGACGAGCTGCTGCTAGTCGCCAGGAGCATGGAGGAGGCCGTTGGCATGTTAGACACGTGTACGAAGACTCTGCACAACTATGGAATTGGAGCTCCACGTGAAGAAGTCGAACCTGCTCTCGACGACTGTCGAGGAGAACGACACCGTCTTGACAGAAACCGCTGGAGCTGCGAGCAAGAGCCCCCAAATATCTCGGCAGGGCATGGCCGGGCAGTCTTCGGCAACGCGGTCGGGCTGCCCTCGACCACCGTGCTTGCTGCGCGTGGACGAAGCTCCGCTCGCTACAGAGCTCGCGGCTGAGTAAGCACGTGTACGGCAACACCGCCGCCGCCGCCGCCACTGCACTGTTTTCCGTGGACGGCCGAACGTGCGCTCCCTCATTGGAGCCGCCGGGCCTGTGGCCTCGCCCGCCCGCTCTCGGGGGCAGGGCGTCAAGTTGCGCCTCAAGCTGTTCAGCGCCACCGTCACGCCTGCAGCGCTGTATGGACTTGAAGCCTGTGCGCTTGACAAGCAACAGATGGAACACCTCGACATCATCCAGCGAAAATGCTCCGTCGCATGATTGGATGATTTTCGATGGCAATGACCTTTGGGAGGAAGCTGGCCGCAGAATGAAGCTCAGACTCGAGTCAGCGAGGATATCGTTCTATAATTGCAGATTGGTCCTACGTTGTGTCCAAGAGATGAGGGCATCTGCTGAACCAGCTGACGTCTGATAACGTACACCCTGCGAAATGCTTTAGAACTCATGGGTTAAGAAATTCATAGTCTCAGAATTTGAATAAAAACCCAGAATCTCTATTCAAATCGTGGGATTTACATTGAAACATTAAGAATAATCGAGACTCTGGCCGAAAACTTGGGTATTCTTAAGCATCGCCTAAGGTGTACCACCGCTGCCCAAGCTCGCGCACGAGTGGTCGCCGCTTGCGTGCGCGGCGCTGGAGAGCAGCCAGCCGCGTCGCACGAGAGGCCGTCCGCAGCGTCGCTCGCACGACGGCGTGCAGCTCTGACGGCTTCTGCTCTTGTCAATCCCCTCCTCCTCCTCCTCCTCCTCCTCCTCCTCCTCCTCCTATTCATCCTCCGTCTCCCTACTCCCTCACCCATCCATCCATCCAATGTTCTCCATCGCCCCCTCTCTCCTTCACACGGTCGGCCGTCCACGCTGTTTCTGTCAATCCCCGAGCCCTGCACAGGGCCGACTTGTTCGACCGAGCGCAGCGTAGCGTTCCCGTTTATGAGATAGCCCGCGTACACGTGCTCAGAACTCAATGATTCAAGGAGCGTGCTCCGACAGCTCTCCATGGAAACAAATCACGACTGTCTCCAGACCCAGCTCGAAAGCACATATCCCTATCACGAATGCGGATGTTGATGTCGCAAGGGAAATCCCTGCTTCACGCAGCCATGCCGTGGCTCCATAAAGCAAGAGCGTCAAAATCTGTCTCACGTCTTGCCGTGTTCCCTTCCTGGAGGCCCCGCGACGTCTCCGGAGGCCGGCAGGAGCCCCCGGAGGCCTCCGAGGGCCGCAGGAGCGTCAAACGCATTCCAAAAGCTCGATGGTCGAACCTCGAAGACACTCGATGGTCGAACTCGAACCTCGAGGACCCAGAAAGCCCAAGGTCTCTCAAAGATCGGGGGCCCGGGCAGGACGTGCCCTGGCCGTCCCCTTCTCAATCCTCCCCTTCTCTCCCCCTAATCTGCCCCCTATCCTCCCCTTCACCCCCTTCCCTCCTACCCCCGAACCCATCCCCATGCTTCCCTGCCCGCCCCCCCTTCCTCCCTGCACTCCCGTCCCTCCTCTCCTCCCTGCTCTCTCTTCCTCTTCTCCCCCCGTCATCCAGTCATCTCCCCATTCCTCCCCCGATCTTTCCTCCCCTCACCCCTTCAACCTCCCTTCAACCCTTGGCTTTCTCCCCAAACTTTGATTATCCATCCTTTGAATCCCTCTCCCTCTACCTCCTTCTGCAACTTGCCCTTTCCCCACCAGGAGCCTTCCAACGAGTGCCCCCACTGCCGTTCACTCTAACTCGTGTTCTGTTCTGAGTGTACTGCTTGCTCTCGGTTCTCGTCTCCATCTCCCTCCATTCTGCTCATTCCTGTCAGGCATTCCCCTCCTTCCTACCCTCGCCTTGCTACGCGTTTGTGGTCATCCTCGCTGTCAGGTGACCCGTATGACTATTGTTACTGATGTTCCTATGCTTCCTCTCTGATCATACATGTCATTCCTCTCCCGCCACCATTTTCGCTTCACTCTAGCATCCCGAACTTTGTCCGCCCAACAGAGGAAGAGAGCGAGTCGTTTTTCAGCTTCATCGGCACTAGCGACATGACCCGGCTGAGCAAAAGAGCCGCCTCGGACTGCTGGTGCAAAGGGAGAGCGGATGTCGTGACGATCGCAAGACGAAGCGAGAAAAGCGCGCGAAGAAAGCCCAGCCATGAAGTGCAAAGGAGGCGACGGGACTGCCAGGACGAGGTGGACGAGCCAAGAGGAGGCGAAGGAGCGCCATCACGGCGACAGGAGATGATGGCGCCAGGTGGGCGGCGAAGGGACAGAGGAGAACCTCGAACAACCTACGCTCCTTCTGCGCCCCGTTGTCCTGGTCACCCCTCTTCTTCTTTTTCTTCCTCCTCCTCCTCTTCTTCCTCTTCCTCCTCTTCCTCCTCTTGTTCCTCTTCCTCCTTCTTCCCTCTTCCCCTCTTCTTCCTCTTCCTCTTCCTCTTCCTCTTCCTTGTTTCTTCCTCCTCCTCCTCCTCCTGCCAGGCGAGACCTCGGCACCCCCACCCGGCGCACGAGGCGCCCACGACGCGCCCACCGGCACCCACCAGCTGGGCACTGGCAGAAGACCTGGCACGACCAACCAGTTCCACTAGCCCTCTGGGCAGAGGTGGCATGACGATACCTTTTCTCTGGACGCCCGAAATGGGTACGGAAAGAATGGGTACAATGCCCAGCAACTAATGTTGTCCCAAACCAACAGCGGCCGCTGTTGGGCAGGCGGCCGTCTGTCTCGAATGTACACAGGCCGCGGCGGCGTGGACAGCGGGTCCTGTTCAAAATGACCAGGAACTGCTGTTGGGCATTGTACCCATTCTTTCCGTACCCATTTCGTTCGTGCAGATTTTCCCTCTTCCCGAATCCCGAAACCCCTTTCCCCTCCGGAGAGGGGTACCCTCCCATCCACTCCCCGAGGCTTTTTGGGCCGGGCCGCGATCGGTCAGAGCGTCCGAGATGGCCCGAGATGGCTCCAATAGGGCCTCCGATGCACCAAGACGGCCTCCAAAGCGGCTCAGAATAGCCGAAAATAGTCCAAGATAGCTTCTGACATACCTCTGAGAGGCCCGACGAGGACCACACGACGGTTCCAAGTGCTCTCGGCATCCCGTCAGGACCCCCCGGCAGGCCAGACTCTTTCGACAATCGGAGGAAAATCACTGATGTGTGTCTTCTCGCCTTTTCGCTTCGGATGCGCTTGTGAGGCCTCAGGAGGGCCCCAAGAAGGCCCAAGAGGGGCCCCAGCCCCAAAAGCGCCCCAGAGCGGCCTAAAAACGCCCCAAGAGGCGATGTTGATGGCCCCAGAGGGGGGGGGGGGGGGACAGAAATCGAGTACCCCCCCTCCTTTGATCGACGCCCTACAAGATGGCCCCAGGAGGCCGTACAGGGTTCCGAGGAGGGCCCCAAGAAAGCCCCGAGAAGGCCCCAAGAGTGCCCCAAGACGGCCCCAAGACGCCCCCCAATAGCGCCCCACGAGGGCCCCCAAAGGCGGGTAGCCTCCTCCTTTTCCTCCTTTTCATCCTTTTCCTCCTCCTGCTCCTCCTCCTCCTCCTCCTCTCGCCCCCCCACGGGCCCCGTGGATGGCCCGAAGAGGCCCTCCAAAGCCTCTCCTTTGCTCCCAGAGATCTCTCCGTCCATCCTGGTTGCCCGCTTTGTTCCACGATAGGTGTCCCGTCGTCCCTTGGAAGGGTTTCTGAGCGGGCTGGTGGGGATAAGCAAAACGTGAAGAATCCCACCAGCCCTCTGGGCGTAGGTGGTCTAGAGCAGATCCTCTTCCACCCCTCCCTCTTCCCCCTTGGGGAGGGGTTTACCCCTCCCCCTACCCCCTCCCCTGGACCTGGACGGGGGGGGCCGCTGGTAGTTAGAGCGTCCCAGATGGCCCAAGACGGCTCCAAGAGCGCCTCAGAGAACCCAAGATGAGCTCCAAGATGGCTCAAGATAGCGCAAGATCGCTCGAGATGGCTCCTAAGATGGTTCCAAGAAGCCCAAAGACGGCCCCAAGATAACTCCAAGTGGCCAAACAGCTCCCCAAGGAGGCCCCGAAGAGGCCAAAATCGTCCCAAAACCTAAGGAAAATCAATGATTTTTGCTTTCTCGCCTTTTCGCTTCCGATGGCCATCCGAGGCCTGGAGATGGTTCCAAGATGGCCCAAGAGGGCCCCAAGAGAGCCCCAAAAGAGCCCCAAGACGGCCCCAAGAGCGCCCAAGAGCACTCCAAGAGCGTTCCAAGAGGGGTCCAAGAGGCGATTTTAGGGGCTTCCGAGGGGGGGCGCTAATTCACCCCCCCTCTTGTTTGATCGATCTCCTCCAAGATGGCCCCAAGAAGCGCCCAGGAAGCCCCAAGAGGTCCCAAGATGGCCCCAAAATGGCCCCAAGAGGCCCCCAAGAGGCCCCCCGGAGGCCCCCAAGAGACCCCCAAGAGGCCCCAAGAGCCCCCCCAGATGCACCCAAGATGCTCCAAGAGGCCTCGGCGAGAATGCCTAATCATTGATTCTACACAGGTTTTAGCCACATGGAGGCCTCTTGGGGGGGGGCACGGATTAAGATGACTCCAAGAGCGTCTGGGAGAGCCCAAAATGACCTCCAAGATGGCTCAAGATATCCCAAGATGTCTCATAATGGCTTCCTCTGTGTGCTGCCCACTTCTCTGATCGAGGCAATTCCTCTGGGCATCGTTTCTGGATGGGCTGGTGGGGATTCGCGAAGCGACAACAATTCCCTTTACGTAACCGAGGTAAGAGCCCCTAAGTGAAAGAACTCTGTTGGGACATGTTATATATATATATATATATACAGAGAGAGGGGAATGAGAGAGGAGTAGACTGTGCAGAAGCGGGAGAGTACACGTCAGAGAATATAGATACTTGAATCAGCATCGAGAGGCAGAGCGATAATATATATATATAGAGAGAGAGAGAGAGAGAAAGAGAGAGAGAGAGAGAGACAAAAAAACGAGAAAGGGTAAGAGCGAGAGAGTATAGAGTACATACTAGAGTACATATCAACTCGATAATTGAACTTACATCTACAAATATGTATATACGTACTGCGCAAGGAATAATAGTCTCAAGTGATTCGGATGTGGAGGCATGCGTGCGGGCAAAAATAACAGCTGGGACATATCACAGTACACCTGTCCAGCATAACGCCCAGAGTTGCTTTGCGCACAGCACATCAGTGAGCGCCTCGGTCAACAATGCGACCTGCCGCAGCTTTGAGGGGCGCGACAGCCAAGTGATGGCTGTGTCCTGCTCGTTGCGCATTGCGGCGAAGCTCTCTGTCAACCTCGCCCAACGCGCGCGCTGCTGAATCCGTAAGCGGCTCGCAGCGCTCAAAGATCCGGTCTCTACAACGCGGGCGGCGCGAGTCAGAGACACACGATATCAACCCGAGTCGCTGGTTGAACTCAGTGCCGCAGGCTGGGCACGTAGAGCCGGCCAACTGGCGTCGGATCTCAAGGCGCACGCCATGTTCAATTCGCTGGTGGCTTCGGAGCGCCTTCTCGCAAAGAAATGCGCCACCAGTGACATACGAACGACTCGCGCCCCAGAGTGGGATTGGGAGCAGCGCGGACGTCGCAAACCGAATCACAATAAAACAAACGATCGACGAGCGATGTCCCCCGGAGTGGGATTAGGAGCAGCGCGGACGTCGCAAACCGAATCACAGTAAAACAAACGATCGACGAGCGATGTCCAACCGCTGTCGTCGAGCATCACGTGCACCCACGATTCGGGGCCCTCGCTGAACGCGGGCAAGTCGGGGCAACAATGCTGCCGAAGCAAACCGGCATCTCGCTCGATCGCAAGAACCCACCGAAGCTTCTGCCCCCCAGGGCGCGCGTGCAGAAGCGCAAGCAGAGCCCGAGGGCGCTCTCGGCTCTCGAGCAAGACGTCCGCAGTACTTCAAACGCATTTTGGCAATGACACACTCGATCGCAGGCTGGCGCAAAGCAGATCGCACCTTCCTGTCGCAGTGTTCGACTGGACAGAATCGAGGCTCGTCGAAAATGCGACGAAACATGGTCATATAGGCTGTGTTGAGGTTCTCCAGATGTCGCGGAGAGGTCGTCAACACGCGCACACCATACAAAAGCCTTGAAAGGAGAATGCCTTGTATACCATAAAGTTTGTGGACTTGCGCAACGAGTGCAGATCCAATGCTTTGAAAGACAATGGGCGCATGCGGACATGCAGCCTTGCAAGTGGCATCGGCCAAACTACGAGCGCACAAAGACAACGTGGTGCCGAGATGCTCGTGCGAAGTTACCACGCGGATGTGTGCGTCACGGCGAGGCACCTGCACAGTGAGCTGCCCAGGGGCCTCGCGGCGAGCTTCGCGGCACGCTGTGGCGCGAGTGCCTCGGTGCCTGAGCAGCGCCTCAGTTTTCCCAGGCGCAGCGTTGATCTGCAAACCTGCAAGTGAAGGTTTTCAAATGCAGTGAAAATCGTGTCTAACAGTACCTCGATCTTGTGATCGAGCTCCGCAGGAAAAGACGCTGCGACAGCCAGCGCTTCATCGTCAATGAAAGCTGCATCCAACAAAGACTCTTCCGGACCAGTGGCGGGTCAGGGGGGTCCAGAAAGCGCCGCCAGGAAGAGGGGCATCAAGGGAACCCCCCACGGAGTCTGCTGGAAATGAGGTCCAGGGCAACACGGTAGACGCCTAAAATGTGGTGGCACCTAACTTACAGCCTTGCCAGCCTCTAGTCCGGCTCGCGACGCACGTGGAAGGTCCGAAACTGCCGCCCAAGCTCCTTCGTGGATCGCGCGAATCATTTCGGCGGCGGCACCGTCCACTCCCCACTGTTCCAGCAAGGGGCCGTGATCCGCAAGACATGCCAACATTCAGCCAGCTGACTCAGTCAGTCATCCAAGGCCTTCGACTACGCCATCAGAGAGGTCGCCATGGGCTGGATGCCGCCGCTCCGGGCCACCACGAATGCCGACCGAGAAGTGCGCTTTCCTCGAGAAGCTAGGGGCCCCGCCGGATACTCCGCAGCAGCTGGCCGACTGGAACGACAGCACCGGCGGCATCCTCGCCGCTGGAGGGGCGGGCCCTGTGGCCGCCGAGCTGGCGGC